GAATAACCATGCCGCTTTACATCCTGGTTGAATGCAATGCAAGTAGAGCTGTTTTTTCTCTAGGTAGGGTAAAGATTTTGTTTCCTTCAGACAACGTCGCTTTCCTCTTTTTTCTCTGTTTAAAAATGGTCTACCTTATTTTCTATACCCTTCTTGTTTTTATAGTTTTTCCAAATTGTCTTTTTCCTAAATTTTGCTATTTATAGACAGATTTTTCGAATATAGTAATATCTCTTCCTTTAGTCTTACAACATTTGCCAATTTTTAGCAATATGTTCTTAGGATAGTATATTTTAATATGTACCTATCGTGTCGTGACAATGGCATTACTACGTATGTTTTGAATCACCATTTAGTAGTACATTACGCAAGTGGCAGTCAGTAAATGATTAACCATGAGTTTATTGAAGAAGCAATTTAGATTATAGACTAAAATGAATAATGAGTAAATATGACCATCAATTCCTATCAATATGCTGACTTTCTAAAAATGTTATTAAAGGGAAGCGACGCTACTTCTAGCTTGACCTGATCAGGATAAGTGAGTTCTGAAAATTCTGATTTAGTGTTTCTACAGGTAAATTTAAATCTAGATATAGATGCACTATACTCGTCTTTCTCATTTCTCTGTCTTCTTCTGAACAAAAAAAGGAATAAGCAAAGAAGAATGTCAAAAGATATTGACCACCTCACTAAGCCTTGGTTACTGTCCCCAAAAAGGAATTACGCCTTTCTAAATGCAAATTTGATCGATGTTGTAGCTGGAACAATCATTGAGAATGTCACCATTTATATCAATAATGGAATTATTAGTCAGGTCGATACTGTCAAAAAAGAAGTGCCAGAGGGATTTAATGCCGTAAATCTTGAGGGTCAGTTTGTTTGTCCTGGATTAATTGATGTCCATATTCATCTTGTGGCTGTTCCAGGTGGAACAGATCTAAAAACTGGATTACAACTTCCGTTACCTCGTATAGTATTGCAATATCACAGACTTTGTAAAAATATGTTAGACAGAGGATTTACTTCTGTCAGGGACTGTGGTGGAGCTGCTGCATTTGTTCGCGATGCCATAGAAGATGATATAATTCATGGTCCCCGATTATTTCTAGCAGGGAATGCTCTCTCACAAACTGGTGGTCATGGTGATTTGCGTAATCCAGTTTTTGAAGACAAAGTGCAGGATGCATGTGGATGTCAGAGCAATGTAGTTGCTAGAATATGTGATGGCGCAGATGAATGTTTAAAGGCTGCACGAGACGAACTAAGGAAAGGCGCCGATTTCATAAAAATAATGGCTGGAGGAGGAGTTGCTTCTCCAACTGACAATATATCTTCTCTCCAGTTTACTTCTGAAGAAATTAAGGCAATTGTGCAAGCTGCAAGCAATAGTGGTACTTATGTTACTGCTCATGCTTATACGCCTCAGTCTATACGCCATTGCATAGAAAATGGCGTACGAGGGATTGAGCATGGGAACTTGATTGATGAGTCGACAGCAGAATACATGGCCAGTCATGATGCATATCTTACACCTACTCTCATCACTTATAAAATGATGGCAAATGATCAATTTACTGGTTTTCTTCCTGAAGAAGTACGAAAGAAAAACGAAAAAGTTTTAGCCGCTGGATTGAAATCCCTAGCTATTGCAAAAAATGCTGGCGTTAAAATTTGTTATGGCTCCGATTTACTCGGCCCTCTCGTCTCAGCACAAACTGGTGAGTTTGTATTACGTTCCTCCGTGTGTACTCCCGCCGAAATCCTACAAGCAGCTACAATAAACCCAGCTAAACTTTTAGGTATGGAAAGTAAGTTGGGACAGCTAAAGCAGGGATTTTATGCAGACCTTTTGATTTTAAATAGTAACCCTTTGGAGGACATCTCTGTATTAGACCGGCCGGATCGCCATCTCTTGGCTGTCATGAAAGGAGGTAGAATTTACAAGAGCAGGTGGACAAAGTTGCCAGATGATGTTATTCAAAGAGACATTATTGAGTAACTTTTATGTATTTTACTTTATGTATTTTTAGGGAAAGTAGGTTTCGTTAGTTGCTTATTAGACAGACCGCTTGCCCTCTTTGTCTAATCCTTTAACATAATATTTAATAGCTAATTGTTCCTCATTTTTCCAATCTGAAGAATTCGACTATGGATTCAAGATTTCTACAAATTTTTTTCCCGACAGCTAAGACAAAATTGATTTTTTTTTTAAACGAGTTCAATTCCGAAGGCTGTCCATTCTGTTTAAGTTTTAAATTTTAAATTTTAAATTGTCTTTTATATGCCTTGTTTACCATTCGTAATATCTCTTCCTTTAATTATATGGCATCATATGCTCTTGTTATACTGTTTTGTAATCGTAATTAATAAACAAGACATCATTTGGGACATGTAGACACGTTGCTTTCGTGAAATCTTTGTTTGTTGAATAACTTTTCTTCTACTTGACAGAACGAGCCTAACCTACAAAAGCTTTATTATAGATAATTTTATGTATATTTATATATAATCGAAAATTTTTGGACAAGCAATTTGACGGCAGAAAACTTGCTTTTACCTATAGTAACAAACAATAATACTACATAAACTTTTTAGTTGACAAATTTTTACTACACA